ACGGGGAACGCTTTGTGCTTTAACCGAATGTATTTTTTCCCCCTTAAATGGGAAAGGGACCGTTGCCTATCTCTGCTTTAGGGAATGTAAGATGAGCTCTCGTTACGAACTGATGAGTTAGAGAAAGGGAGGGGAGGGCAGTGCTGTTAACTGCACCGAGTAAACTTTAATAATAAAATGGGAAGCGGATACCAACAACAGCAAGTAATCGAAAGAAGGGCTCTGCGGGTCGGGGGTGGGGGTGATGGCGGTGGAGGTGATGGCGGTGGAGGATTCATCCAGCGCGTCCGAGAAAGGCAGAACAAGCTCGCAACCCTCTCCCCACGCCGCAGGCCCCCCGCCCTCTCCTACAGCCCGGCTGCCGTGCGCTGGCAGGGCTAGCCCGGCCAGCCCGCCCGCCCTCCCCGCTTCGCTATTTTAACCGCCCTTAATTTGAGGAAAATTACATTTCAGGCTCCATCTGGGTGCGCGAGCAACTATTACAGATTTGCCGCGATTAAAAAAAAACCACCACCACCGCACACGCTCCTCTTCTGTTCACGTATTTTACAATTACAGATTTCTAACAGCTGCAGCTCGGACTTCGCTAGCTCCAACCCATCAGCAATCAGGTGTTGCAGGGGCTACTTTAAAAAGAGCGCGAGAGGGATTTCTGTGTCCTGGAGCCCCAGCTGCGGTTTTGTGGATTGTCAGTTCTGAAAAGTCACACACGTAAAGATTTCTGATGCAAGTGGTGAAATGAGCACGTAACGTTACTATTACCGTTTTGCTCAGCTACTGTCCCCGAGGTTAATGAAAAATTAAAACAGCTTATTTTATATGTAGAGTGGTGGTAAGGAGTTCTCTCTTCCAGGCTTGTTAAGTATTTGACCTGGCAAGTGTCACATAGGATTTTGATATTAATCTGGGAAATTTGCTTTCCCCCCCCCAATAGAGATTGACTTATGGACATGAACGTTTTTAGGTAAAAGGACTGCATTTGTTATTTTTACCCCCACCCCCCCCTCCGTTCTTACTAACTGGATGGGTTGTGGAGTTGACAGCAGCCGCTGGTCCATGCCACCGAACTAAAATAATTTCACAGTGAAAAACCAGCTCGAGAGGACAAGCAACAGAAGGGCAAAACCCATCAAAACCCGAAACTCTGATCAATCTGACCAGAGTCAGGCATACATTAGTTTAATTTAAACAGTTTCGTCTTTCTCACAAATCTTTCTTGAACATTAAAGATAAACTCATGTAATATTTAAATCGACTCTTGTCAGATGCTAAGTGCAACTGAAGAACCAAAATAAAAATTAATGCATTTCCATCCCCTCTCAAAGGCTTACTCCGGGTGCCACTTCGACAACATACTTCTGGCAAGCAATGCTTAGAAAAGAAGGGTTCTGTTTGTCTTATCTATGGGGAAATGTAATTAAGCGAGTTTTATGAAACAATAAAACACCGGGCTCCACAGACAGCAAAGGAGTTTCTGTAATATATCTGAGCCTATATGGGCATATGTATCTTGGCTTACGCGTACAAGTCCACGCCAAACACATACATATACGTTTGCTTGCCTGATTTTAGAGTGCGAAACGTATGCTAGAGCTAGAACACAGTGATGCCTTTATGACGGGAAGATTTTCCTCAGCGATAAGAGGCTCCATTTTCTAAGACCGGAAAGTCACCCGCTGCCCATCCACTACCTTTGAAACTACCCTCAACGCAGCCAGCAAAGGTACGCGCAATGCGGTGACCGGGGCTGACCCTCCTCTTCTCTCTGATCCGAGGTTTGTAATGACCTGCCCACATCTACAATCGAAATCACCCAGGCAAGTGGAGTCCTGAAAGGCCCAGGCTTTCCGAAACAAAAGTAAACGTGCATTGCTGTTCTGTAAAAACATCGATCAAACTTCATTCTTCCATACTTAGAAAAGAGGGAGAGAAATGCTGCCTCGCTTTAATACTGTTGGCTCTCACTACAGGCTTTCAGTAGGGCGCCGTTTAGGTTTGTTTGTTTGTTTGTTTGGCGTTTTGTTTGTTTTTAAAGGAACGAATCTGAAGTTAGAAAATCGCTGGAGTTACCAGCATCAAATCTCCTTTCCATCCAGATTTGGGGTATAGTTTCGAACGTTTCCAACCCCGAGCTGAGACCCACACCCCACGATTCTCTCTGCACCGCGAAGCTCAGCCCGCAGCGCCTCACGAACAGACCTGCGGCAGGCAAGCGATCAGTCCTGATCGGAGGTGTCTAATCCCTGCTAAATCTCTCTCTCAGCTCAGTCCTAGGAAATGCGGGGCAGATTGCTTTTTTTTTAAAAAAAAAAAAAGATAAAATGTTGTTGCGATGAAGCATAAAGGTGTCAAAAGAAAAAAGACGGACCCTGAGTCCGTATGCTCCCACCTCTTCGGAGGTGGAATGCTTTGGCAGCAGAGCCGAGGTTGAAATTTGACCAGATTATACGTTTGAGCTTGTGCACAAATGCGAAAAGACTGTCCTAATGCTGAGTATTTCTCCATCGAGATCAACCAGGTGCTGCTGCTGCAAAAATCCCACCTCCGGCCGCTTGTTCTGTGCGTGTGTGTGCGCGCACAGCGATGCACAGACTTTGTTCTCTCTTCATGTCTGAAATTCATCAACCGCTCCCCCTTCCCAGCCACCCCGTCCCCTATGTGGAAAAAAGTAAATCCGTTCAGGCTTTGAATATTGTAAGAAGCTTTGTGTGTATTTTTTTTTTTTTTTAATCTTCAAATGAATTAAAGACAACCTGACAATGCTGTCATCCGTCTTCAACGTCACATCAAGGCAAGAAATAATGATAACAGAGCAGCAGAAAGACGCCCACTGAAACCTGGAGGATATATATACACATATATATACACACACACACATATATATGCCTTGAAAGAGTTTGAAAGAGAACAAAATTAGATTACCGTTCTTAGGCTACCGCGGTAAGAACGTGTGGGGGTTTTTTGTAGGTTTGTTTTTGGTTTGGGTTTTTTGGTTTTTTTTTTGTTTGGGGTTTGTTTGGGGTTTGTTTTTTTTTTTTTTTAACTGCTGCATCTTTCCTGCTTTATTTTATGAAGCGCGTGCTCCTTGATCCAAACCACTTCTGCGGGATAGGGTTAGACGACGAGCAGGCACATTCCTTGCTCCTTAACTACTACGACCAATGGAAACACAAAAATATCTCCCCTCCCCCTCCACCGCTTCGGCTTCTCGTTCCCGTTAATAACGAGCGTTGCTGCTCTCCTGAAGCGCAGGCCAGAGCGTGGCACGTTTGACGCGGAGACCCACGCCGGGACTTCGCGCCGAGCAGTTCAGCTCCCCGGGAGGAGAGAGGAGCCCTCCTCCCTTTGTCTCTGCGGCCCCGCGAGGTTTCGTTCGGGCTCCCGCCCGCCAGGCGGCGCTGCCGG